AAAAAAAGAAAAAAAAAAAAAGATGAATGATAGCGGATGGGAGTGGTACGTTTCTTAGTCTATAATATATATATATATATATTATGTATGGGTGCGTCCGGAAAGGGAATGTGGGAAGTACCGCGTTTCCTCTCTGTACACCAACGCACATTCGCTGTGGGTATAGCAGCACACCATCCATGTCTGTGTGTGTGTGTGTGTGTGGCCTTTCCACTCCTCTTTCTGGGGACTAATGCACAGTTGTGTGTGTGTCTGTGCGTCTTTGCTTGTCCCTTATTTCTTTGAAAATCTGAAACGACACGGAGGATATATAGTAAAGATGGGGAGGGTAGGACACTTTAAGCGAAAGGGAAAAAAAAAGATAGTAACATTGGGCAAATGAAAATAGAGGGGGAAGGCGGAAAAAAAAGACGAAAACTGGAAAAGGAAAATTGAGATTTCCTTCACTTTTTCTCTCCTCCCTTTTTTTTTTACTGTTTTCCAGATTCCGGGAACAATACATATATATATATACCAGTATATGTATATTCATTTTAGCCGATATTGCAAAGCGCGTGGTGCTGCGTCTGGTGGGCGGCGCAGGCAGACGGTTGTGCGCGAGCATCGAGTGGCTGGCGGGGCCTCTGCTCTCATATGTTATTCGTCCTTTTGGTTGTTTGCTGCGCTATAGGAATTACAAACGTAATTAAAAAAAAAGACCACCATAAAGTGGGAAGGGAGCAGAAGTATCGCCTACCCGTAAAGTTTATTTTTCTTTGCTTCTCAAGGAAGGAATAACAGCAGCAACAAGAAGAGCCGCAGGGACTGAACGAGGGAAAGTAGCACATATTCTCAATATACTCCGTTCCGACGGAGGGTGAGGAACCGACCGTGCGATGAACTTCGAGGGCATCGATGGCACAGAGTTTCCGCTACGCGGCATTGACGAAATATGGGAGCAGTGGAACCAAAGTAATGAACTCTCTTCCGCCACGAATCTCCCCTCAAGTCTGAAGTTCCGCCAGCAAGACACATCGGCGCCCTCAGGTTGCACTGAAGTCTTCGACGCGGAGTTTAAATGCCTGTACGAAGTGCCGTCCCACTTGGTGGTACACACACCCTCCGCGCGGCTAAATATCACCCGCTTAGTCTTCTGCCGCAACTACAAGACCGGTGAGCCCGACTCGTGCAAAATGGGAGATAACTGTAAGTTTGTGCACGCCGACGTGGATATTAAAATGCTGGAGGCATTTCCGATTCACGTTAATTACATATGGCGCCACGAAGACCTATGCACGTATAAACGACTCCCACCAGGTGAGACGGTGGAAGTCTTGTGCAGTGATATGTGTACGATAGAGTCGTTGCCTAGCGAGCGCATCCTCGTAACGCGTGGAGCTTTGGCTCGCCACGATATTGCAGAACCTCTGATTCGGTGCAGATATTATGATGCGAACCAGACATGTTTTTCAGGCGAGTGCTGCAACTTCATACATGTTATGTTTGTTGATCCGAACGTCCAAGGGTATTTCAAACGAGCGCCAAAAGCTCATGTAGAGACCAGGGCAATCGCAACTAGTTCATCGCTTCAGCACCAGAATTATAGCAACAACAGCAATAACAACAACAGCAGCAGCAGCAGCAGCGCGGGAAATCACGTTTTAGAAGGTCACCATGGCGTTCAGGGAATGAATTCAGCATGGGTGCCAAATGTGAGTTCACCGTCCTTTGAATCAAGTGGAATCACGCCATTTGCGTTAATGCATACTTTCAATGGAGCCATGCCTTTCATCCCATCATCGATGTATGCACAACAAGATGCGGGGGTAATAAACCTCGGGGGCTCCACATCGCCTGTAGCTGCCAATGCCCGTCCATCGGGCCAGCCCATCCCATTCCCCTACGACCACACAGACGGAAGTCTGCAGGAGCTTCTCAAGATGCTTCAGGTGTCAAGTCACTCNCCCAGCGCCGGCGCCCGTCCGCATGAAATGCAAGCATCGTCAACTGGTGCAGGACGGATGCAGTCATCAGATGCCAGTAACAGCAACGCAAACACTTTAACGACCCAGGAGCAACTCACCGGGGCTCTTTCGCATGTTGTTTCGCTTCTTGCGCAACAAATGGCCGTGACACGCAGTGTCACGATTGGATCATCACCGTTGCTGGACGATCCGTATTCGATGGGAACATTGCTCTTTTTACCGCGCGGGGCTACGGAGGCGGTGGCGGTGCAGCCGGTTTACGATGCCTCTTTTATGGCCGTTGTGACAGCACTGGGTGGTCAGCAGCAGCGCCCCATGAATCCCGTTATGCAACCGCAGACGAACACGGTGCCACAGCCGCCAGCCGCACAGAAAGGGAAGGTGCAGCCAAAGAGTTGGTATCCGTTCCCCTTGCCCAGCGGTGGAAACGGTAACGGCGCCGTGGTATCCAACGGGGTTATGAACGGCAGCAACAGCAGCACCGGGAGTAATGCCGGCGGTACACCTGCGGTAGACCATTATTCGAAGTCGTTCCAACAGCTCCAGCAGCTGCAGAACACTCTGCGAGGCAATGGGACTTGGATGCTCGGTGTGTAGTCATGCCGCCGGTGGGTAGTGGTTCTATCGCAAATTTTGGGTGTCTGGGTTTGGATGGGTGTGTGTTTATGTTTCCCCGCTCGATTACTATAGACACACACACACACACGCTGTGTATGTATGCGTCCACACACATGCACAATTCTTGGCTTTCACGTGAAAGCTGATCCAGAGTCTCACTTTTCCTGTGTATATCCAACGTGTATGCATACGCCTCTTCCCGATTTGCTCATGAACATAGTTGGAGTGCTGGTCGCTCTCGTGGTTTCACCGAGAAGCGACACTAAGGATGAGGCGGTGGCGCACGTGCTCCTGCTGCAATTGTGTTGCGCTCGTTGTCTTTTTTTTTTGTTTTCTTGAGGCATTCTGTCTACCTGTGGGTGGTCTCTTCCCGAAGAAAGGAATACTAAGAAATACCAACAACGCGAAAGCATATTGTGGAAAAGAAAAAGAGAAACGAAGAGAGGTGACGAGAACCGGAGGAACACTATTGCTTCATGTTTTTTTTTTT